CAGTTTCAGCAGCGGCTGAATCTGGACGCCAGTTCCGACTTACATACAGATTCAACTTAAGAACAAACCTACAGTCCCTATCTTGTACGTAACCTGGGGACTGCCTGTATATTGCCCATCTACGTCTTAATCCATCACTATGTTCCTCGCATGTGTAGATTTATGGCCTTAGGATTCTTCTTGCTTTAATTGCTGTCCCATTTTTGTTCAATATGACATTTTTCAAAACTTATTTTTATTAATGCTATTCTCACTTTCTACATGTTGTGAAGGATCAGCCCCAACAGTTGAATTCCTTTTCATTTTAAATGTAAGTTATCTGGAAGAATATGATAGTGGTAATGTCTGTTGGTGTTTCGTTCAGTATTAGAAGAAGCTGCCTTTAGAAAATACATTTTAAGTTTTAGCTTAAAATATGTGGTAGTGAAACCCATTTAATATTAACAGTAATCGGCCAATGCTACATAAGGGATTTTCTAATAAGCAATATCACCTTCAAGCTTGCACTTCGGTAGCAATGAAAGGTAAAATCATTCCTATCTGCCCACCCACGTCTGTTTCACATACAATGAAGAATTTGTAAATCTTTTACTTTGTTTGAAAATCACTAGAGCTACTAACTGGAAATGCTGAAATTGCTTTTGCTGTATACAATGATGAATTGATGTATGTGAGTTTAATTGGACATCAAATATGTAGCATTGTGCTGAACTGGGTGATGTTCCATGTAGTATTGTAAGAAATCTTCCAATAAGCAAGTCAGCATTTAATGGGCTGAATTGTAGTTTCTTTTTAAAACTTATCTGAACTGCTGCATTCTTATTGTTTGAACAGTCACGCTGTGTAGGGTATGTCTTTTTTTTCCTAGCGGACAGAATAATTCTCCATTTGGGTGGCTACTTTCATCCTTTATGTAGATTCTTACAGTCTCCTAAGTAAAGTGCTAATACTGTTTATTTTTTACTGTTTAATACAGTTTGAGGTTTGTTTGAAAAGATGCTTGAAGAATCATGCATCCTTTCATTGGGATTCTATATGGATGAGGACAGATATAATTGATTTTTAATCTTGTTTTGCATTTGTAAATTAAAGTTATTTTCCTCAAGTGTGGTTGATTTTTAGTGATTGATAATTACATTAAAAACAGCTTGTTTTGCAGTTAAATACAGTTTTTACACTAAATTTACTATTTCTTTTTACTAACTAGAAACATATGTTATGTATATACCTTTCTATATAGCATATCTTACACTTATTAGGATTCTTAATTTTCAGTTTTTTAATTATTGCATAGTGAATTAAGTGTTTTTTATTTACTTGATCAGGTTGAAAACTACTATGTTCCGCAGACATCTGAGGGTCTGTAGAGCATGTTTAAGATTTACAAAGGGGTCTGCAGTTCTATTCAAAGTTTAAGGTTATGCAAATGAAAAAGGTTGAAAAACACTACCTTGAATGGTTAATTTTTGTTGCTTATGAATTATCCAAGCTTTATTTGAATGGAAATTCAATTAATGTACAGAAATGAGCATTATGAAAAGGTTTTATTAGTTGGGACCAGGGTTCCTTCTAAGGTGCATGCACAAAAATTTATGAGCCCGCCCACCTCCTTCCTGGAGCCATGCAGCAGCTCTCAACCTTCCTGCTGGACCTGAAGGTGAGTGACGTAGCTGCTCCCATGGCCTGGGGACAGGGCTGCATTGGCGAGAGCTGCTTGGATAGCTGCTCTGGTGGCCAGAGCCACACTGAGGGGCTGCTGCTCCCATTGCTGATAAGGCTGCTGGGGGTTAAGGCCAAGTGTCACCAGGAACTGTACCCACATGGTGGGCTCAGTGGGCAATGGGAGGCTGCCACCAGGAACCACAGCCACATTAGTAAAGTAATTATGTGAATTAACAAGATACTTCAAAACAGGCCTTCCATAACCAATTAAAGGAACTTATTTCCCCTATTTGCCTGTGTCCCTAATGAGTGCTTTGATTTGTTCCTCTATTTTTCCTGCTTTGCACTTTATGCAGCAATTAATGAAGTAAGCTATGATGATCAGTACTGCCAGCACTCAGTCCATCCTGTAGCACCTTAGACTATCAAAAATATATAAATAGTATCATGAGCTCTTGTGGGCACAACCCACTTCCTCAGCCAAGGGTAGTATTAATTTTCTTTGTTTGATTTCATATTAAATACTTGTAAGCATTGCTCTTTGCACATCCACATACTACCTCAATATTGGTGTTCCACATAAGAAATTTCAACCTGACCAAATGAAAATTCGACCTGCTCCAGGATGGAAAATCTTAGAAGGAACACTGCTTGGGACATATGTCCCATAGGACATAGTTTCCCAACATATGTCTGGAAATAACACAACAGGGCACAGATTATCCAATAAGTTCTTGGACTGCATTGTGGATAATTTCTTATTTCAAAAGGTTGAGAGCACTACTGGGGGGGAAATTGTTCTAGATTTGATTTTAACCAATAGAGAGGAACTCACTGAAAATTTGAAAATGGAAGGCAGCTTGGGTGAAAGTGATCGTGAAATCATAGAGTTCATGATTCTAAGGAATAGTAGAACAGCAGCAAAATAGAGACAAAAGATTTCAGGAAGGCAGATTTTAGTAGGCAGAGAGCTGGTAGGTAAGGTCCCATGGGAAGCAAGACTAAGAGGAAAAACAACTGAAGACACGTGGCAGTTTTTCAAAGGCACATTAAGGGCCCAAAAACAAAATATTCCACTGTGTAGGAAAGATAGAAAGTATGGCAGGAGACCACCGTGGCTTAACCAGGAGATCTTACATGATATAAAAAAGGAGTTGTATGAAAAGTGGAAACTAAGTCAAATTACAGAGGATGAATATAAGCAAACAATACAAGTACGCAGGGCAAGATTAGAAAGGTGAAGGCACAAAACAAGCTCAGTCTAGTGAGACACAAAATTGGTAACAAGAAGACATTCTGCAAATATATTAGAAGCAAGAGGAAGACCAAGGATAGGGTAGGCCCATTGCTCAGGGAAGAGGGAGAAACAATAGGAAACTTGGAAATGACTTCTTTGTTTCAGTTTTCATAAAGAAGATTGATGGTGACAGGATGTTTAACATAGTGAATACTAGTGAAAATGGGGTAGATTTAGAAGTTAAAATTAAAAAAAAGTAAAAAATTGCTTAGAAAAGTTAATGTCTTCAAGTCACCAGAGCCTGATGAAATGCATCCTAGAATACTCAAGGAGCAAATAGAGGAGATATCCGAAGCTTTAGCTATCATCTTTGAAAAGTCATGGAGAGATTCCAGGAGACTGGAAAAGGGCAAATATAGTACCCATCTATAAAAAGGGAAATAACCCAAGTAACTACAGACCAGTCAGTTGAACTTCTGTGCCAGGGAAGATAATGGAGCAAGGAAGTATGGAGTCATCTGCAAACATCTGGAAGATAATGTGATAACAGCCAGCATGGATTTGTAAAAAAACGAATCACGTCAAACCAATCTGATAGCTTTCTTTGATAGGATAGCAAGCCTTGTGGATTAGGATGAAGCAGTGGACATGGTATACTCAGACTTTAGTAAAACATTTGATATAGTCTTCCATTACCTTCTTATCAATAAACTAGGGAAATACTATCCAGGTGGGGCTACTCTGAGGTGGGTGCATAATTGGCTGGATAACCATTCTCAGAGAGTCATTATTAACCATTGACCATTCTCAGAGAGTAACATGGTTCACAGCTATGTTGGAAGGGCATAACAAGTGGGGTTCTACAGGGATCTGTTTTGAGACCGTTCTGTTCAATATCTTCTTCCACAATTTAGATGGTGGCATAGGGTGCTTGGTCCTGCCGTGAGGGCAGGGGACTGGACTTGATCTCTCAAGGTCCCTTTCAGTCCTAGTATTCTATTATTCTACTTAAATAAAATGACCTTAAATGTGCTGGATACATAAGAAAAAAAGTTTATCAAAACATGTTTTGCATTTAAATGTAATTTATTGAAGCAAATATTTTTATGAAGTAAATTGAACAGACTGCCAACATGTTCTTCAAGATATTATGACTCGTAGCTCTTCTCCTCCTACTCCTAGTTTTAATTCACAGTTTGGAAGAGAAATAGAAGCTTTCCAGCTTTTCTAACTCCCAATTGGTGTCTAAATGGTGAATTAAGTAGTAATTTAATTTAACTAATTGATTAAACTGAACTAAAGGTGTTTTTCCTGTATACACAAGAAGCTACTGCTGTCAAAAGTTGATTATGCTGTTCAACAATTTCTGGTTTCTTCTTCTGACCCAGTGACTTCAGTGCTTTGACTTTCTTTAAAACTTTCCTGCAAACATATTTTTTATTTAATTGATATTAATAGATTGCAATGAGTTTAGGCCTAAAAATAGGCCATCAGTTTCAAATTTACTTTTTAAATAGATTTATTTAATAAAAACAAACTTAGATGGTTTTTAAATTTAAATACATTTATTTTAAAATAGCCAGTTTTTATGCGCCCTGGCTTAGGATGTTTTCTGATTTACCAACACACAAAAAAGGCTGTTCAGTCTATCAGAAATAGACTTGTCCAACAGTATGAAGTACTGTTTTTTCTAACTATTTTATAGGAAATCTGAGAGTAATACTTGTCTCTTTTTTTGCAGAGTTTGTGTCCGGTCACGTTGTTGGGATGCTTGCATGGTGGTAGATGGAGGAACTTCTTTTGAGTTTAATGATGGGGCAATAGCTTCAATATTGATCAATAGAGAAGATGCATTGCGCACTGTTTTGCTAGAAGAATGAAGATATTTTATACAATCTGTTCAAATTCTGCTAAATCCTGCATCCAGAGAAGGGACTCACTTCAGAGATAGACAGTACATCAGAATACTGTATTTTAAATTGGAAATTTTGCTTCTCTGGATGCAAGACTATTGAGAGAGAGACCTGAAGTCATTTCTAATTCCTTGGGATCTTTGAAAAAACTGATTTTTGTGCTTGCACCTGACACAGAGGAAATGTATCTAAGTCATACATCTAACTTCAGTGAAATGTGATTTTTTTTATCCTTTTAAGATGAATGTGACAGAACACTTTTTTTAAAAAAAAATTAGGTAGATGGGTTCAGATGAAATAAAGTGGTTGGCCTTGAATATTCAACTGTTCAATTTAATAGAAGCCTGGAACTGAATAAAACAAACACCTCAACCTTTCATATATATTTTACTTTTACAGAAAAGTATGCTAAGATTTATTGAGTTGGTGAAAGCATAAAGAATAGACTTTGGAAAATAAATCCTGATGTTGGTCTAACAGAAATGAGAATTTTTTGTACCCTTTTCAAAATTTTACAACATTACTTTGTAGTATAGTTTGTGGTAGATCTTTCAGTTTTTCCAGTGATTTTTATACTCTTTTTGGAATTTTTTGGAAAATGTTTGTTCTGGTGACCAGAAAAACTCATTTATTTGGGGTGAGGTAGCTCTTCCCCATGTTGCTTCTGAAATCTAGATTTTTTTTTTTTTTTTGGCCTGCTATAAATCTACTTTTTAATACCAATTATTTTAACTGTAACAAATTATGCTGCTTTATTGACTACATTTGCTAGCCAGCAAATGTTTCTTCAATCAGACAGTTGAGGAGAATTGTATGGAATTGTATAGGTTGTTTACTTTTAAAAAGCAATTTTAAATTATTTGGTTTTAAATTGTGTACTTGATCTGCTTCATGACTATATTCCTGAAGATGCAGTGAAACCCATGTAATTCTTTTTGTATGCCAAACATGTGGGAGATATTAGGGTTAATGGATGGGACACAGGATTAAGCTCTATACCTGTTGTAGAATGGAGATAGTATTTTACAGGGCAAATCAGATACTTGATATTTATGCATAAAGAGTCCTATATAAATGCTGCTGACACTCAACTGACTGTGACCAATTTATGCCTTTGGTCCCACAAGGACAACTTCATCATGCAGGTAAGTATTTAAACACAATGTCTGCAAAAGAGAAAACCCATTTGTTATCTACATAATTTTAAGCAACTCTGATCATCTCAGGAATGGTGATGAATGAATAGCATGTGAATTAAAGGGCAGGACTTAAGAGCAGCAAAGGATTTGTTTCTACTGTAGAGTTAACTTACTTCAGAGAAGAGCTTTTTATTGAAGATTTTCTCAAATTCTCATGGCAGTCAGTATATTTGTTTACATGTCAACCTCTTATTTTATAGGTGGAACAAGAAGAATGACGCACGCTTATCAAATAAATAGTTTAAATAGACTTATTTTCTTCACACTCAGCATGAAAAGTTAAACTCCAATTAAACATTAAGAGGAAGGGCCCTGAGATGGTTAAACCAATGAAGCCATTATAATTAGTTTAGCAATAGTTAGTTGTTCACACTTTAGATACAATCTTTTTCTTTTTTAAAAAAAAAAAATACTATAGACTGAAATCTGGCATAAATATCCACCTGAAATGTCTTTGGGCAGCAAGTGGGAAGGTGGAGTCAAAATTGCCAAATAAGCTTTTTTGAAACTGTTGGGTTTTATTGTTACCAAACAGATGTTCTTCTATGTCTAATGCAAAAACCCCTGCAAATTTGTTCTAAAAGTGAATGTTAGTTAATCATTCTTTTTAAGAGAGAGATGACTATGCAGGAACCAGAGAGTATTCCAGTAAATTCATTGTTACATATGATATAATCCATCTTTCAACTGTAATTTCTGCATTCTGTCAATGGGGTACGCTGGTTGGCAAATATCCACCGCTGTTGAAGTGCTGCAACTGTTCCCTGTAAATACACACTTCAAATGTGTAAAGGCTATTTTGGGGTTAAGTATTTTAAATACTTTATAAGAACACTTCACTTAAAATGTTTTAACTAACATTCATTAAATAACAGTATGATTTAACTTACTGAAGTAAGGACACTACAAGGTATGGTAAAAACTCCCATCTTCCACTTACCCACAATTGTGAAGAGTTTCCCAAATAAATGAGAATATTATGTGCTGTAATATTCAGAACAGAGCGAGGTTCAACAAAAGGATTTTTTTTTTAAACTTTTGAGTGTCAGACTCTTAAATTGAGACTGCTGTGTGAAAAGCAACACTGCCAAGGTAGTATAGGTCCAGTCTTTAACTTACTTTTAAGATTTGGTATGAAGTATCAATTGGATTCATAACAATTAAAAAAGAATCTCTAAATGAGTTTGTGGACCTGGATCTCTCGTGGGCTCTTGTCAATTCACAGGGCCGGGGCCCAACGGTTGTAGATGCGCTTCAACACAGAGCCAATTAGGAATAACGTACTTTATTACGCTTGCTACTACAGTTCACAGGGTACGCTCTAGCAAAAGCACTATAGAACAATGTTTAAAGGAGTCAAAGGCTCTTTGGAATGCTTACGTCCCTTTCAGGTCTGCGGGGAGTCCCGTTCCATTCACTTTACCTCGCACCCAGCTGCAGTGGACATGGCTCCAGCATGAGGGAATCCCGGTCAGCCCTCGAGGTTGGGGCCCGGTTGAGACTCAGTTAGGGGCGGCACTTTCTACTGGCTCAGTGACATTCTTATCACTCTTATGAACTGAGACCAAGGTCGAACTTATTTATGGCTTAGTAGTTTCCCAGCTCAAGGCATGGGTTAACGCTGAGAGAGCCTGCAGGTGCTGTTTGGGCTATGCTAAGGTGGTTATAGCGGGGATGGAAACTTCCATCCTAAGCCTGCTAAGCTGCAGGACCCACATATGACTTTTATGTGACAGCTCTCTACTGACTTTGTAGCTGTAGTTAATCATTTTACTACATTTCTGGAGTACAAACAAAAGTAATGAGATGCAACTGGTTGTTTGTGCTCATTAGAAATACTAGAATGGGATCAGAAATCTACATTGGACAAATCAGTAGGAAGAGCTCATGCCTATTTTACAAATTAAGTGTAAAAATCTGTATACTTTTGGTAAATGTTAGTGTTTTTAAAGAAACATAGGCAGCCTATCTGATATAAATATGGAAATCCAAACAGTCTGATTTGTCCATCCAAACTGGTACTAATTCCGAAACTATAACCTATTTCAGCAGCCTATTTAATCCAGAATGTTTCAGTTAAGCAGTAGTTACAGCTTAATATTTTGCTAAACTAAAATTTGACTTTGCTTTTTAAAACGAAACAGCGGTATGCTGATACGTACATGGAATAAATTAAATCTGAAGATAGATATGAAATGGTTTCATGCCTTGTGTTTTGCTGTCTTTTTTTTGTTGCAAGTGCTCTTTTAAATATTTATTAAAATCTTTTGACTTGCTAAGCAGGAAGAAATGTTAGATAAGTCAATCAGAACTAAAAAAGGGAAAGTTGTCATTTAAATGTATCCCAAAATTTATACCTGTAGGTGAGATTTCCTAGTTTCTTATGGATGCTTTAACCAATCATACCAATTCTATTTAATATTGTGGTGGTTGTTTTTAAATCATTTGGATATAATAAGCCAACGTGACCTTTTTCTAATTTAGAATTTGAAAATGACAAACCTTGTTTGTCTTTATTATATTCTTCCTGCCATGATTGTGCCGTGATCAGCAACCACTCTGTTGCATATTGCGGAATCTGTCTCAATGCATGATACCTGTGAGTGTCATGCCTTTATAAGGCCGTAAGGACATAATTTCCAATATATATGCACCTCTGTATATATCATCTGCATATACATGTCATAAAGATTGAAGACCAGTGTGAACAGAGTCTTGTGGAAGACCGCTTACATGACTCAGTGAAATACAATGTAAATACTTGACTCAGGAGATTCCTGCAACTGTTATGCATGCCTGTGCCCTCTGTCACTTGGCATCAGGAGGTACTAGAGTCATGTGAACTATTCGGTTTATTTAAATATGTAGGGGAAAAACAACTAAGTTCTAGTGAAATATCAACTTTTTAGAGTCATTGACTTAATTTCTTGATTTGCCAGTGGTTTAAGGTAAAACTTTGCTAAATCAAGCCAAGATGGTGGTGATAAATGCTTCAGGATTTTCTGTGTGCTACCACTGTAGTTACAGCAAGCTTTGCTTCAGTTATAGCTACCTTGAGGATGATCAGGTTTATTCTAATAGTACTGAGTCCTTTTTCTTAAAAAAAAAAAAATCTTTATATACCTGACAAATCCAGTGCCATTACATAGTTATTTAACATATGATTGGTCATTTAGCCCAATATATTGTCTTTTGATATTGGAGAGAGTGCCAGTTTCTTCAGGGTCAGTCCATTCCCAGATTGACAGATTTAGGGATAGCCAGAACATGGAGTTGAGCCCCTGATCATCTTGGCTAATAGCTATTGATGGATCCATGTATATATGTAGTTTTATCTGAACCCCATTATATTATTGTCCTTCACATCAGCCTGCCAACAAACTCCAGGGCTGTGTCTACACTGGCAAGTTTTTCTGGAAAATCATCTGATTTTCTGGAAAAACTTGCCAGCTGTCTACACTTTTCTGTTAAAAGCATTTCCAGAAAATCATGCCAGTATAGACGTAGCCCATAGGTTGACTATGTTGTGTAAATACTTCCTTAGGTTTGTTTTTAAACCTACTATTGCCATTGGATGACCCCCCCGGTTCTTATGTTGATGAAGGGATAAATTCCACATTCATTGCCTCCACCATTCATTTTATAGACATCTCTCCTGTCCTCCCTTGAGCATTTCTTTTCTAAGCTGAACAGTGTTGTGTCATGCCCTTAATCATTTTTCTAATCCAAATATATCTTAATCATATGGACTGAACAGCACAGAGTTTTCAATGTGTATGCATACTGTGGATTTATATAGTGGCACTAGATTTACTGTCTTATCAATCCCTTTCCTAATGGTTCCTAACATTTTTAGCTTTGACTGCTGCTGCACGTTGAATGGATGTTTTCAGGGAACCAAGTTCGAGTGGTAAATGTTCAGTTAGACTGCATTTTTCTATGTATAGTTGTGATAGTTTTCCAACATGAATTACTTTGACTTCTTTCCATTGTGAAACCTGTTCCTTTATTTTTGCCCTTTGTTCCCTTATCTATCCAGTGCAGTTACTGATCCATAAGAACCTTTTCTGTAGCCCATGACTACTTGCTTGCACTTAAGAGCCATTGAGGTAGCTCATAAAAGCCCTTATGAAAGTCCAAGTACACTGGAGCAACCTTATCCACATACTTGTTGACACCCTCAGAGAATGCTAATAAATGGGTGAGGCATGAATTCCTTGTGCAATAGTCATTTAGATCTTCTCAACCTAGTCATCTTAAATATTTAATTGAGGATTTAAAGCATTTTTTAATACTATCATTATGCTACGAGTTTAATTTCAGTGTATAGACTTACCTCATTTAAGGCTTTATGGACATCACTTTTTCTCCAATGCTCCATTCCCCGCTGATGGTGTGGAAAAGGTATGCTAAACTAGGTTTTTGAATCTCTCAGGTGAGAATTGTACCATACTGATCTTGAACACAGTAGCAAGTTTGAAAGTCTTCAAAAATGATAGTCCTACGCTACATCTACACTACACATTTTTGCAGCAGAAAATATGCTAATGAGGGACTTCATGAGCATAAGTAATGATCTCACTAGCATTTTCTGCCATTTCTTTTTCCACAAGATCCTTGTGTCTCCCTGGGACAGGCACAAGGATCTTGCACAAAATGGGGATTTTGTGCAAAAAAAGGGTCCACACTACTGTTTTGCACAAAAAAATGGCAGAAAATATGCAAATGAGATTGCAACTTATGCTAATGAGTCCCTCATTAGCATATTTACTGCCACAAACACATAGTGTAGATGTAGCCCTAGAGGTAGTGTAGTCCCAAGCACACTCATCCAGAGCTGCAACTTTTAGTGCACTTCAAGTGCATATAAACATTTCCCATTCCACAAGTAACTATTTTCAAGTTACTTTCCTGTCATCCTAGCAAGAGGGGTTTGATAATTCTTTAAAAAATTTGTGTTCAACAATGGAATGCTGTAGATTTTACCAATACAGTATTTACTGGAGAGAAACAGGTTACCAGTCTTCTGTGTTTCAAGCTTAAAGGCTTTCACTTGAGCTAGATTTTACTGATTATACTGACCCTAATAAATGTGTTTGTTTTAATGTATATAATTATGCAAAGACTTGCTCCTTAATGGCTTTGTCTTTATAACTTTTAAGTGGATCCCTTGCTTATCAGGACCTTACTCATTTAAGGTATTTAAAAAATGTCAGTCTGCTTAGATATTCAATATCCAAGCTGTCCTCAGTACATGCAAAGAAAGCTGTTAAATAGGAGAACGTTTGAATTAAAGTAATAGTGCCAGCACTACCCCACACAGTTAGATGCAGTAACGTAATTCCAAGAGTATATAAGTGATTCACCTTCAGCTAAAGATGTTTAAGGACTTTTGAATGTGATGGGTCAGATGAAAAAGCATATCTACCTTAGGTCTAGTTTATACTAAAAAAAATAGGATTGGCTTGAATTTCACAGCTGAGTGGTGTAATTATGCCAGTGTGGTGTAGTTAAGCTGACTGAAGTCCCTGTGTAGCACTAAATTGACAGAATTCTTCCAATGGCCTACTGTGGCCTCTTAGGCAGGTGGATTATTTTACACCAATAGAATCCCTCCTGTCAGCACAGGTAATGACTACACCACAGTAATAAGTATAGATGTACCCTTAATATTTTATACTCACTATTGCACTTGATCAATTTCCATGTAAAACTGATGAGTAGTAGCAGTTTCTAGCAGTCTGCATGGTCATGTGAAGCAGAGTTCTGTTACTTTTGCAGGAGGTTCTTTTTTAAACTCAACTGGGTACAGGCAGAGGTAAAGGGAGTGCTGAGTGCCATACTGTCTCACATTAGTTCCAAGTAAAAGCTGAAACCTAATCAAGCATTACATCAAAAGGGTAAAAAACTTGGAGCTATGACCAGATTGGTGGGATGTAGAAATGGGAGTATCCAGGAAGACTTTGGTTAGCTGCTTAAAGCACAAACAGTTAATGACTGTAAGGATATATGAATTGCTACATAAATGTTTAAGCCTGCTGGAAATTTGCCACCTCCAAGGAACTGGGGGGGAGGGAGAGACTCAGGTCCTGCTCTTTAGCCCTGCAACATCTCACTTCAGGGAAGTGAATACAGGGCTATATAAAACATCTCCTAGGGAGCTTACTATAAAGAGATTTTTGCATTAATAATGCATCTTTAGAAACTGGAAGTCTCAAAAAAGTTATACTGATTGAATGGCACAGAACTGAAATTTAAGTCAGATAATATCAAATGAAAACTTCACCTAGACAGGTGAGATTTGTGGTTTCAATCAATTTGTAAAGGGATTTCAAGTTTCTCACAACAGTGAGGGTCACCTCTGTAACCAATGGGAAAAAATCCACTGTTTTATCCTTGTGTAGATCCCCTTTATTGCTTTTTGGAAACTGATTTCACTGAACTCTAAGTCATGGTTTATTGCCTTACCCCTACCACCACCTGAAGAATAATATTTGGGGGTTAAGAGTCTGAATAGATTTAATGCCCTTATTCATTCTGAGCTCTAAAATTTGAAACGACTACTGAGTTGTAAAACCGTACCCTCATACCAGTTAACTAGAACTTCTCTCTACTTTGCAAGGGCCTTAGGCAAATCTTTTTGGACAAATAGAGACCTTCAAATAAAGTAACATCACAGATAATTAAGCACATTGCCCAATAACTAGACCAGCTGTACTATTTATTACAAAATATTCTAACATTCATGTTTAGCACAATTACAACACTCACGCAGTTTTTGCAAACATCTTTCTAAAAGCAAAACTGACTTTTAAAATGTCTACAATTACTCATACCTGATTAGATTTCTGGACACACTTCTGAATGCACTAAGAAAGACAATGTAAAAATATACTTATGAAAGTAAATTATAGCATAAAAACAAGTTAAAATACTTTTTACAAGAAGTAGAGTGATACTCCAGTGTTTGGGTTTCTTGATGAAGCACACTACACTTGGAGTCAACAAAAGGAAATATCCAGCAAACTGTGCATCACAAATCACTAGGATTTCTCAGTGTCAGTCTGCATTTGATACCCCAGATCTCTTGGTTCTTTTTGCTGCCAACAGTTGGCCGTGCAATGGTTGTAAAATGCGAACAATTGATCTTTATGTGGGGAAGTGTTTCCTTTAGGAGCTGTAGGGAACTGTCAGTCACTATTCCAAAAGCTTGAAGAGTCCTTAGTGTGGGAATTTCACCAAGTTCACTAGAACAAAAAAAAAAAAAAAAAAAAGACAAGCTGGTCAGTGTTTCAAATCTCCAATTTGTGATGTTTTAGTTGTCATACAGACCAAGATACTTTATTGTTCAGCTATTGCCCCAACTATCATTTAAAAGTATATTTGCAAGTACAGTCAGGGATAGAGGAATTCATCAAAAGAAGTAAAATACTAGAGAGCCATTCCATAGCCAGCTTTAAATATCTTCCAATTACAATTTTAACACCTTAGGTTTAGGAATCAATACAGATCCATTACAAGTTCTCATTTTTAAAATTCAAACATTTTTATAAAATTAAAATAAGACTTGTATTTCTTTTGCATACAACTATTTAATCCTTTGTTTTATTAAACACTGTTTTACACAATTGTTTGTGGGTTCTAGAGAAGGAGGGAATTTATCTTTAGAAAATAGAACTGGGTTAATGAATTTCCTTAAGGATACTATAAAAGTTCCTTTAGAAACTGAGGCTGCCAAAGCTCTATCTTACTAAGCAAATAAGCTGAGGCCATGTCTTTACTACGGGGAATATTGTGATCAAAGAGCAGCTACTACTACAGACGGTGCCCAGGAGAGCTGATAGGAGCAAATGCTCTATCTACCTCCCACTGTGGAGAAAGCATGGAAACTCAAATGAAGGTATGTTGACTCCAGGTATCTTAATTCGACCTTCCCCTTTAGTGTAGACCTGAACTGAGTTTTAACCTTCCTTCAGCTCAGCTTCCTAATCCTTTTTAAAAGGATATGTAAATATTGACAGAGCTATTTAGTCTGTGATAAGCTTTTATACTTACTCCCTTCTCACTATAGTTGAGAAAAATGACACTGACAGACACAGCTGACCCAGTACAACATGAAAGTAAAATGTTTCACCAGTTCCTATGTGATGTGGGGCAAGTCACAAACTTTTCACTCATAGTTACTGACTACGTGTCCGATCTTCTAGGTGCCCAACAAGAGACTGGTTGGTATCTGCTTTGCAAAATATTCTTTCTGTGCACTTACAGCTGTGATTTGACCATGTAAAAAGATCTATAATGCTAAGTACTCAAAGAAAAAAGTATCAGGTTTTAGCTGTGTTAAATTAAGCACCCAAGATTAGTGGACGCTTCTGACTTGAATTTGTTGGGGCCATTTTTACAGGTATTTAGATGCCCTGTGATTTTTAATGAGTGCTAAGCATATTTAGCTGTCTAAATCTCTCCCTCAATGCCTGAATAGTCCATCTGTAAAAGGAGGACAATACCTTCAATGCCTGAGGTTTTATACAAATAAGTTTAATGTTTGAAATATTCAGATACTGTAGGAATGATCATACAAAAATCCTGTAAGGAAATTTTTTACAATGAGAAATCAAAATAGTGATTAGTTGCTCAGAGTACCCCACCCATGCTGTTCATTCAATGAGACAGAGGTCCTCTGGAAAAGATAGCTTATGATCACTAATTAGATTCTAAAATAGTGCATTCACACACACAGGAGAAATTAAGGTTACACAGGCAACCTTAGAGCAATTCTTCTGTTTACTTCGAAACAATGTTTTAACTTCCTCAGTATGGAAGGAAGGAATATACCAAGAAACTCCATTACATAAAATCATATTTACACCCATATGGTTCATTAGCAGAACTGACATTAGATCCATAGCACAGACCTCTGCCACTTGTGCTAATGGATTAATTGATAGCAGTAGTAGCTTATGTACATGAACCAGCACCACAGGGAAATGAGCGCAAGCTCACTAGGGAATGTCAGATTTTTGCTGACCCCAGAAGAGACCCAGTAATCAACAGCTCCATTCCAGGCTTTACTCCTTGCCTTACACCTTTGAACCTGGTCCCCTCCTCTTAGAGGAAGACTGGGACTATTTTTAAAGCTTTTTCTTGCAGTTTAAGTCCACATAGAGTTCAGGATCTCAAACAGTTTTTATAAAGTATTTGATAGTAGTAAACTGACTTAAAGCTAACAACTAAAATGGGTGTAAGACATTACTCACAGTAAATCAGCAGGAGATATCTGATAACATCTGCTAAGAGACAGATGCTGTAGGCAGATGAGCTGACGAAAATATTGAAAACATTCAGGCTTCAACATTGCACTGTCACTGTAATAAAGGTGATATGCAAAAAGTAGGATTAGAAGAATTACTTTCCAAGAACACAATAAAAGCAAAGTTAAGTGTTTCTGAAAGTCCATTTTGTACACATTTAACATTAATTTGTCTTCAAAAGTTTCCTTCACCTGCTTATTAACTTTTAAAATATAACATGTTTTCTTATTAGAAATTAATCACCAATTTCTATATTTATTTTTTGGAGGCGAAGCAACATCTTGTTTTGCAGGAAGTGGTTTTAGCATAGAAACTTTGGGCACAAAGAAAATTGTTCTACATGCCAAGAGTTCTAAGCAGTATTTAGTTAATATGGCAAAAATCAAATTACTTTCACTTTTTATAATCGTGTTTCAAATGCGTAAGAGGCAAAATAAGTCTTCCACAGCAGATGTAGTTTATTCCTGAGGGAATTGTGTGCACAATAGCTTTACATTTTTGAAAAATTCTGCCTATTTCAATGGTCAAATAAATGTGGAGGCTCTGGCTTTTCAGTGAGGAGCGTAAAACCATGGAGTACACAGATCACACTGCAGCTGCACCCCTGAACGCAGTCAGAGGCTACACCCAATCCTGACACAGTGCAAAGGCCTATGGGATAAACGCCCCAGGGCCCTGCCTCTTCCTCAAGTGCACCAAGGACAGGGTGTATCATGCACACCAAGCCCTGGTCTCTGATCCAGGAGTGGGGCAAGTAGGTTCATTCTGGTAGGATTTAAGTGCGGAAGGAACCAAGCATGAGGCAATCTGAATGCAGCTAGCTCAGGACAGGAACGTACAAGAGGGAGCTGGTGGCATAGAGGTTTGTTGGGAGGTTCTGGATACAGGGCCACTGAATCACTGCAGGGGGTGCAGGAGAAAAGTAGTTGGGGCCCAGCAGGTCAGAGAGATGGAACTCACCAACAGGGTGCCGAAGAAGTGGGGTGGAGGTCTGTGTGCAACTGGTTATGGATCAATGAGGTAGAGGTCTTGGGTGCAGGGGTTTCAATGTGCCCACTTAATTAAGGAGCCTGAACTGCTGCTAAGGGGACACCACATGCCTGACTCTTCCTTCCCCTCATTATTCCCCTATTTTCTTCCCCATCACATGTACCCGCAGCACTACACAGACTCAAAGTAGCAGTCCAAGTGAGAGAGGCCCTGAACCCAAGCAGTACAAATCTGCTGCTTATGATATCTTTGTGTCTCCCCCGTTCAGGCTGCAACTTATCTCCTTGGGGCTTCACAAAGAATCTGCCCCCTATACATCTGGATTTTTGCCAGCAAAAAAGCTGAGTGAACTTAGCCTAAAGGTTTTAGCACAATTAAGACAGCTGGAGGTGACAAAGGGGGGGGGGGACATCCAATTTTCAAATTTACCTATGTTAAAACAAGATTTAGATGTGATCTTGTGCTAAATCGTATGTATCTTTCCTATTATAGAACTTGCTCAGTATCAAAGTAAGCAAACTCTATAGTAACATCTAAAACTGGTTTCTGTTTTCGTACTCAACTTTCAGCAGCTGAACAATTTCTGCATAAGGATTTTTTGTTGTTGTAAAGTTTGAGCAGAATATCTTCAAAATTTTGGAGCTGGTCAGAGTGTGTTTGGAGAGGCAAAGAGGAGGCAAGGATCCTTTTACCATTAAGAAAATCCCAGCCTATTGGGATATAGTCAGTACTACAGCAGACAGACAGCAATAATCTTCCGAGGACTGACACCTGAGCTAGGTTTGGGAAAAAAGATCTTGTCTGAAACAGCTCAAGACATCAATCACTCATAGGCTCCTCTCACTTCTGCTAGCAGAAACACAGATATACATGTGGCAGGTGCTGTGGCCCCAGAGAGGCAGAATTTGCAGCTTGAAAGGAGTAGGGACAAAGGTGTCTTTAATGCTATTGAAATTCAGGGCCACTGAAGAGTTTTTGATACAGCTTTTTTACCTTAAATCTAAGTGGATGAGATACGGGCATCTTGTAACCAATGATTTAATATCTGTGGGGGGGAAAAAAACAACACAGATGTACATAACTCTGCTAAGTCACTTTTTTTCCAGTAAGCTTCTCCTGACTAGTAAACTCTACCTTTTAAAGTTGTATATGGTTTGAATTATTCACTAATATACAAGTTACACACTTTCCACTAACATGAGTTATTGACAAAAGGTTGTACTTGTTTAAAGAACATTGGTACTGCACTTGAAACATGCCAAATCTTTTTCACCTCCTGGTGGGCAGTGCAGACCCCTTTTTGTTGAAAAGCAAACAAACAAAAATTGTTCATAAAATGTGTCTCTGCAATGCTATTTGCCACCTTATACCACTCAAAAAACAAACAAACCATATTTGAATTTAGTCACTGTTCATTTTAGATAAATTGACTAAGCTTATTGGTACACGAAAACTCATTCAAGCAACTGAAAGCCACTACACAATTTCATGGCAAATTTTACTGGGCAAATCAATTAAGTTGTTTTCTCGTGACTGAAAATTGTATTGTTTGATTGCCTTGAATTGTAAGGTTGGTAAAACAGAGACAATATTTTCATTATTTATGCACATCCCTGAGCTCAGGACTCAAATTCCTGATTGTGGCATTTAAGTGCCATTAAATATAATACAAAATAATATAAAGTGGCTACCAGAGTTTCAGAGCTTGTATACAAAAAACACTAGTTAAGGTTTAGGGTTAATGTTTTGTTTTATGAATTATACTATATAAAGTAGACCCTTATGCAGGTACAGACACCATTTACATTTGATATCAATACTCTGGTTATGACAAGCCAAGGGGATATGCAAACAGTTAATTGTTGTTATACTTAAGGTTCCACATAGCATTCCACTAGAATACCAGTTCTCAGTGCTGCTGTTACCTGATATCTGCAGATTTTGTCGATATCCACTAAAATTTAGTTGGGTTATATTTGTAGAAATGTGACTGACTGCTGCTTTAATATGATCAGCTGTGAAGTCACACCAGGATAAGTTAAATTCTTCCAATCTACACACAAATAAAAATAAATCCATTTGGAAGTCTTGCAAAAACATAGGTTTGACCTTAAAAGGATCCACATACTATTCAAATATTAAAAAAAAAAAATTACACACGAGATGAAATGTAAACCATGAAGTTTCTTCATTAATTACAACAAATTTCAAGAGATCAGATTAAACAGACAACTCAGGGGAACTATAATGGGATATAGAGCATCATGGTTGCCAAAATGCATCAAGTCAGCCATGACAAAGTAACCACTGACTGTTTTGCTGTGAAATGAGGTGCGTGCCATATTTTTATACAAAAATATCATACATGTTTTGATTGCAATCTTCAACCTTTCACATGTTACTGGTCTTCGATTATAAGCACTGAGGGACAGGGCCTGTGTATTCCTTCATGCAGATGTTTACTACATTGTAGATACTACCAGAATACAAACAACAGCCATGACTACTGAAATTATTTTTTGATTGTCGCAATGGTGGTCAAAGAAATTAGTCACTGTCTCATACTTACAGGTCCCTTGAGAACAGCGTTAAAGCATGTTGGTGAAGCAAAGAATCGTGCACTGCTGTATGACATGGTGCATCAACCCCACGCTGGGCTAAGAGGGGTGGACCAATCATTGTGGGCCCAGGAGATCTCTCACCCCCCACCCTTGTTGTGTATGGCCCAGGTGGAGGGGACAGAAAAGGAGGCAGCACAGCTCAGTCGGTGCTGACGGAAGAGGAAATGTATGTGCTGAAGGCTCCTGCAGAGGAACCACTGACTTTGACCTTGCTGTGTATGACCAGTTGACTGCAGAGACACAACTGCTGCCAGCAGAGAAGATGCCCAAGATTCCTAGAACCCAGGGAATCTGCTAGGGGCTGATATTTGAACCCTGTATAGAAAGTTTGACTGCACCGGACCCTGGTGGAGCAGGGTAGGACTGACCTGCACTTACCCATAGATGTGACTACTAGGGATGTTAGATATTGTTTATTTTAGTAATTGTGTGGCTGCAACATTTTTTTAGCATTTACACTGTTACTAAAATGCTCCCTCAGGGACAGAGCCAGCGCGCTCCCGGCCCTACTCCTGGGGAGCCCCCTGCCACCCTGTACTGCTGCCTCGCAGAGCTGGTCCATGATGGAGCCAGTTTAAAGGGGGCAGAAGCTGCTCCAGCATCCCACAGTGTTACTGAGGAAATGTGTTTAAACTCACATAGTTAAACCAGCACATGTTAAGCTTGCCTCTGCCTTAAGCAGTTTCTCCAACATTGCACAAGAACTCTTCAGTGCCTTATTCAGAGACCATCCCTCTTCATATAGGCACACCACAGAACATTAGTCTCCACAAGTGTGGCCAGACAGACTATAACCCCATATCATCCATCCTATTTGCCTCTCTGAAGCACAGGGCAGAGAAGGAGCAATAATATCAGCATAGTCTATGCTGGCTCATCTGATCCTGAGAAGCTGAAACACAGATATGTGGATAGAGAGCAGCTAAGTCAATAAGCTGGCCTCGAGGCTGCGGCTGGCACCTATGTTGATTCGAACACACACAGTCCCAGGAAGAGGAATTTCCCACTGAGAAAACAATGTCCAGTACTTCAAAATTTAATCATCTCAATTCTCTCTTACAAGTGTAAATTAAGTTCACAACTCCCTTGTAAGAACTGGTCTCACAGCAGACAGACCAGCATCAATTGGCAATTAAGATAAGAAAGAGAAATACGTGACCCCATGATTATAAAAGATGGGCCCAGCACACACTCACTTTGAGTGTCATTCTACCCTCTACCTGCTGGTCGGGTTAGGTGTTTGACCTCCCGAGGTTCTATGGGGACGCCCACCTCGTATTTTCGTCTTTCCTAGGAATTGAGGGACCGGCCCTGGCCTGACATGCTGGAGTCGAGAGGCACAGAAGGGGGTAAAAATGGTACCTGGATGTGGTCCTCTGTCTTAAGTGTACACATAGCAAGAGTAAGCTGTTACTTGGTACCATTATTTCTATTTTTCTATCTTTATCTTCTTTGTAACCATTTTTAAGACCTATATTTTGCTAATAGTTAAGAAATAGAACAATAGCCATTGCAACCAACGAATAAAAGAATCGATAGGAAGTACTTTGTCCCATCAAAAGACAACGACTTTCTTTTCACACACCCACAACCCAACTCGTTAGTAGTGGATTCAGCGCAACAACGTGCAAAGATCCCACAATACAAGTTGGGCAACGCAGACAAGGACCACAAAAAGCTGGACTCCTTTGGCAAGAAGGTATACTCCTCTTCCACCTTACAACTCAGAATATCGAACTACTCTGCTCTTTTAGCAAATCATGACTTTGACAATTACTCAAAACTGGGAGAGCTGATACCACATCTCCCCGAGTCTAAAAGATCCATCCTGAAAACAATAGTTCATGAGGGCCATATGATCGCCCGCACTGCTCTTCAAACCGCAATGGATGTTGCTGAGTTGGGGCGCTTCTCAGTCTCCCCGAGGCTGCCCGCTGCGAAGGAATTATGAAATTCTAGCAGCTAAAATCTGAAGCGTAATAAGCTCTTCCTATAAACTCGGGGCGTCTGTTGGCCTGCTGGCCACCCTCTGCGATGGGACCCCGGTCCTAGCAGTAAAGACACGGACGTTAAACCTTTTCTCGGAAACATACACACACACACTGCCCTGACCGTCGGCTGACAACAAGGTATCAATTTTTATAATGGTACTACATCAGCCGTAGAATATCTGTTTTTGAAGGATTATTTTGACATTACAGTCTTTTCTTCTATCAAAGTTGTACACTCTGGCTATGTCTATACTTGTGGCTTCTTGCACGAGTAATATGCAAATGAGGCTAAGCATGGAATATTGCCGAGCCTCATTTGCATACCTAATGAGCCACCATTTTTTTCAGAAGAGGCTCTTGCACAAGGAGCGTCTACACTGCCTCTTCTTGCGCAAGAAAAACCCTCTTGCACAATGCCATTACACCTATTACTTTTCAGGAAGAACGGCATTGCGCAAGAAGGGGCAATGTAGATGCTCCTTGCACAAGAGCCTCTTCTGAAAAAAATGGTGGCTCATTAGGTATGCAAATGAGGCTTGCATACCACACAGCCTCATTTGCATATTACTGGTGCAAGAAGCCGCGAGTGTAGACATAGCCTCTGTGTCAAGGGGGCTCATCGGATGCTATTTCACAATTTTTAAAAACACACTTTCCTTTTCACACAGTATGACTTGTCACTTTCAATAAAGAAATCAACTTTGCCTGAGAATATTCGAGACAGGCAAGTTTATCTGGAAAAAAGTTTAACTATCTCAAAGATTTAACAAAAGAGGAAGTAGTTTAACATTGATTAAGTGCATCTTCATTAGAGGAAAATACTCTCTTTAGATGTACAAGAACACAAGTTACATAACCATGCCAGGAAAGTGGTCAATGATCATCTCTTCTAGGAATATAAACAAGTGCATAAATTGAATCGGTCTTACCCAGAACAGCTGATCAACATCATCTCTAGTGCTTCTGCAGAAAATCTAGAACATCCAGAGATATTTAATCGCACCAAACTGGAGTTCTGAGCAATACTCCTGTAAAGAATACCACAGACAGATTGTCATAATGCTTTCACACTTCTCCTGGCATTATCAATTTTAGGATTTGTTTTCATAATTCAAAATTCCAAGCTCAGGATGGCCTTACTTTTGTAAAGATACATTTGTACATCTTTGCCTAGTGAGCCTTAGGTTTCAATTTAACAGTTAATTAGATGTTCTGAAACTGTTTACCTGCTGCATTAACATATTTGATAGATCATACATTTGAAAAGGGCTATTATCTCTAGGATCCTTGCCAAATTCCTATTTGCATGTTTACATTCTGCCTAGTTGTTTCCTTTACAGTTTTAATGTGCCTTTGACCTTTTTGTTACTGTTTTGAAACAGCTGCCAGGTTTCACCACAGAGGTGGCTGCATTTCTGTGATGGATAAAGCAATTAGCCCATTCCTAAAATTAGTGTCAATCCTGTAAATAGATGTGCCTGTGCACACCTCTGCACCCAAGTGTGATCTTACTGAAGTTGGTTAGTCTAGCTATTTAAAAGATGAGGGCCTACATTCGTAAATTGTTTGGGGACTCTTCTGCATACAAGATGGCATATAAATAAAAGTTACTACTGAATACTTTTTGTAAATGAGGTAGAGTGGCCTTATTCCACTACATAGAGTGTTAGCTCTGCCAGCTGGACTAGGATAACCCCATAGCTTGTCTCTTGCAAGAAATATAGGCATGGGGCAAATAGTAGAAGAACAGGGACCCACAGCTCAGTTCGAACTAGGGATGTAATAGTGTAGTCAACTAACCGATAAGCAAAAGCACTTAGGCTAATACTATAGACTACACACATTTCCCTCCCCCAGCCAGTAAATTTTGAGCAGGCTATCCAACAGCCCATCTCAGTCCTGGCTTGTGACAGGTCTGGGACCTACCCCTGCTGTGGCTCTAAAGCGTATTAGGAGCTGGGTGGGCAGGCAACCCAGCTCAGTTCAGGCTCGCACCGGGTCTGGGAGCTCAGACCTGCCCTACACAGGGAATGCTGCCACCCTGATATAGAGGCAGCAGGGGGCTCCTCAGGAGTGAGGTTGGAGTGCCCTGGCTGCCGGTCCTACCCCAGGACTATAGAATAGTCGACTAACCCAATAAGAATTGATAAGGTTACTCAACTATTTAATTAAATTATATTTAACATCCCTATTTCGAATCAGACCAGGAAAAGGAGCAAGATGTCCATTTCTGGATGCCAAAGAGATAGCAAAGCCCACATCTGGCTGTAGCAAGCAATGACCCTCTGGAGCAGGGGTGGGTAATAATTTTTGCCCAGAGGCCACTTCAAAAATTTTTGAAGTCTCCCCGGGCCACCTCGGAAGGGCAGGGCCTAAACAGAAAGGGGCAGGGCTACCCTACCCCCAGACCAATTATGGTCTGGGAGTGAAGAAGTGCCTTTGCCCTCCCTTCCCACGAGGCACCCATACCCTGGAAAAGGCTTGGCATGCTTCTCCACCCCCAGGCCAATTAGGGCCTGGGGGCAGGGGAGTGCAGGAAGCCTCCTCCCGCCCTGCGAGAGGCGCACGTGCCACTTTGAAGTGCCACGGGCTCCTTGCAGGGCTAGGGCAGGGCGAAGGAAGCTTCATTCAGCTCTCTCTCGCCCCCAGGCCCTGATTGGCCCCGGGGCGGGGACCGCCGGAAGCCTCCTCTGCTCTCCCCACATCTGCGAGCAGCGCGCCACATGCTCCTGGCAAGACGGGAGGAGGTTTCACGCAGTCTCCTACCCCAAAGCCTTCTCTGCTCTGCTCTGCCCTTGCTCTACAAGCAGTGCATGGTGGTTTGAAGTGCTGCATGCTGCTCGCAGGGTGGGGGCAGAGTGGAGAAAGCTTTGGGTGTTTCCCAAACCCTAATTGGCCTAGGGGCGGGGGAGCAGCAGAGCTTCCACAGGCCAGATCCACCCGCTTGGCAGGCCGAATCTGGCCCGCGGAGGCTCTTTTGTCCACCTCTGCTCTGAAGCCAGCTTAGAGGGAAGGCAAAAGACTGCCCTGGAAGAGTGAGAAACCCAGTGAGAAGGAGAGGCAGAACCAGGCCCAAGAGAGACTATGGAGCAGCCCCACCAGAAGCTGATAGGAAGTAACCTAAGGAATAGAGAGATTAGTCCTGTTAGCCCCAACCTCCTAATATGGGCTGGATGAATACTACCTTAGGTCAGAAAGCCAGAGTCGCTGACTGTTGGTACACTCAGCCACAAGCTAGGATGCCTGTGAGACTAGCCAGCCATGCAAATCAGGCCCCTGATGCCACCAAATAGGTTGTCCCTGGTCCTGCAATGCAGGAACCTTACACTTCTGAACATGCCTACTGACCTAATGATATCATCAGAAAGCACCAGTCCTTCCAAGCTGAGATTCTGTAGTCGATCACAATGACAAAGAATATTATGGAGATCTGCAACATTTACTGTGCAGTTGGACAGATCCATATGTTGCACTCGAAGAGGTCTAAAGAGAGGAAAGGAAAAAGACAATATAAAATGGATTTTAATGTTTTTCTAAAATTAAAGTAGCATATTGTATTTTTATACAAACAAATGAATGCATATCTAGCAGAAAACAAATGCTTTAAATCAGGAGTGCGTAATAATTTTTGAATTACTTAATGAATTTTTGGTACTGGTCATGGGTTGGTGCTGGAAGGGGTGGGGCCAGGAGCGGGGCTTGGGACTAGCCTTCCCCCAGAGTTGTTTGGGGCTAGAGGCTTTGAAGTACAAAACACAGCAAAAGGCTCCTGGCCCAACCGCTACCACATTGCATGAGAGCCTCCCGGATCGCTGCCGCTATTTCAAGGGTCCCTGTTGTGGGAGCACTGCGAGTGAGAGCCCTTTAAATAGTTGCAGCAACTCAGGCAGCTCCCAGGTAACACGGTAGCGATGAGGTTGGAAACTACAAGCCCTTTAAATAACAGCAATTTAAAGGGTTTGTCAGTTCCACCCTATCCCATCGCTTGGCATCTGCCTGGGGTTGCCACAACTATTTAAAAGGCTCACATCAATGGTCTCTGCTGGGGTAGCACTGCGATTGGGAGCCTCAAATCATTTCAATAGGAATCCTGCTACCTGAGCCACCACCTGGAAATCCAGTGGCATGGGCAGCAGGATATAAAGAGAAAGCAGCCAGATGCAGTATGTGGACTGTATCAAATTGTTAGGCAGGCTGGATCCATCCCTTGGGCCACATCTTGCCCAGCCCTGCTTTAAATGCATGTTTGAGCCATCAATATTGCTAATCTGGTTACCCAAAATTCTATTTACTTTTAAGGCATATGAATTTTTAGGACTCATAAGAATATCTCTGTCTATGCTAGAGTTGAATTGTATTTCCTTTAACTCTGCATAGAAATACACTTCAGTGGTCAGTTGTTGGTTCTAAAAAAAGATTTATTAAATAATGATACTAGACCAGTGGTACCCAACGCGGCACCCGCCGGGGGATTTCTGTGCGCCCGCTGAAACATCTGGGCTGGCCCTGCCCCCGGCGCGCGGCACATGCATGGTGCCGGCTCCAGGCACGGGACGCATGGGCGGCCCCTCCCCTGGGCGCGCGGCACATGCGCAGGGCCGGCCCAGGGCGCGTAGGCGGTCCCAGC